ATACGAACTGTGCGGTCCGGGGGAGAGGTTTATCAACCGTATATACATTCAATCATAAGTGATTATTAATGTATGCATAACATTGTAATGTGTCATTGTAATGTATTGGATTTGAATCCAATGATAAATCGTTTATATATTATAATTATAATAGACACGATTAACAATTTTGATCTATGTGATGTTGGCATCCTATATTTATTAAAATATTTTATAATTATAATAAAGTATTTATATAACCATCAGTGAGCCATTATAGGTATAATCAAGAAAAAAAATATAGCCAGAAATGGTATTAATGAAACATTACATTATAAATACTATAATGATATAAAATCGATTATCATAATTCATTTTCATCGGGATTGTATACAAGTGCCAGTTGCGTTGTTTAAAAATAAAAGTCTGAAGAAAACATTTGAAATTCGGTTGGATATAGGTATATTGTTTTATAAATACAAGCAGTGAGTGGCAACGTGTAGATAGTGCTCGAATTGGTAAATTAATAAAATTAAATAGAACTCAAATAAAAATTTAAAAAACAGCGTTCCAACTGAACATTTATGCAACACTAACTCGTGGGGGGCTTCACCCCCTCCACACTGACATAATTATTATCATCATATTTTAAATTAAATAAATTCTAATGCATATTATTTTTGACTAAGTGTTATTATGTTTACACTTTTAATCACTTCAAACTTCAAATTTTTTTCTAGTTGTATCAAATAAAAAAAAATCATTATAGGTAGGAAATTCAATTAAAAAACGTATTGATACAACATACAAAACAAAAAAAAAAAATATGTTGTTAATTACATTTTATACTTCCCCATTGCGTACCCGTGCGTTCTTTTAGAAAAATGTAGTATGTGAACGCTAATTAATATCAAAAGTTGGGGTTTTATCGATTCCGCCGTTTTAATATCAATTCCGCCGGCTATCGATTCCGCCTGATATTTGTATATATTGATTCCGCCGACTATCGACTCCGCCAAACTTTTTTACATATCAATTCCGCCGACTATCGACTCCACCGAACTTTTTTACATTTATTATCGTCAACATCAAAAAATATAATACAAGTATACACACACATATATATATATAGATATAATATTATGGAAAAAACTAATAATTACAATACGAGTATAAGTTATATTTTTTCAGGCAAAGTTGGACAGTTTAAAATTAATGTAATGTTCTACCTACTTCAGTATTATAGTTTTATTACAATTGAACTGCAAATTACTTGTATTTCTTATAGTATCAATTTACTTATAAATTACAATATACATGTAATAAAATATTAAAATAAATGTAAATGTAAGTATTTTAAATTTACAAATTTACAAATATTCAGCGGATTGGTAGCCGATAGTCAGCGGAATCGATATAAAAAAGTTTGGCAGAGTCGTAGTCGGCGGAATTAATATGTGAAAAAGTTCGGCGGAATCAATAGATTTCTTACAGGTAAAAAGGTCGTTTCGGCGCAATCGATATACACCCCAAAAGCTTAGGAGCTGAGGTCCCATGCGTTCCTTCCCAATTTGAGCACGGCGTGTAGATATACATACATAATTTAAAGTTACACATAGCTTCATAATAATTAGTAAAATATTAAAATCATATTGTGCTGATTTTATAATAATTTAATACATAAATATTTTATAATAATATTATTATTATTTTATTTATAATATTATACGCTGCATAATATTTAAATCAAATATTGCTTCTGTTATTTTACAAATTTGTGGATACTATGTTTAATTTGACTTAACAATAAACCAATGAATTTTATATTAGAGTTCCAATTATATTAGTGCATTTTTTAACATCATATTTTAGTTGAGCTCTTAGTGAAAGACCAAAAATCATGATTTCAATAAATCCTTGGATTGTGCAGTTACATAGTGAACTTTAGATTTTTCAGAGGTTGTTATTGTATAATATTCCACAAGCCTAGGCCCTAGGCACCCACTTATAACTTAATACAGACACTATTTTTAACTTCTTATTGTAATAAGTACTAGTTGATATTAAATTATTTTCCGTTGGCCATTATAATTCTCATAAAAACTCAAAGGCGGCCGGGTTAATCCTTTTAACATGCCACTGAATCCTTGTATACATTATTAAAATAAAAATGGAAAATGGAATATAATTAATTATTACAAACGTCAAATGTATAAATTTATACTTATGTATTAATATATATAAAAAATATCGAACTTTGTAAATATTATTTATGCTTATAAAGCATATAGTATAATAAATCGAAATAAAAATGTTCATACCAATGATAGCTGATGTCGATGATGTTTAAAAAAAAAAATAACCCATTATTTAATAAAAACTTTTAGTTAAGAATACATTCATCAGCTATCCAGTACCCAGATTAATTGTAGTTTTACCAGCTCTCGGTTAATTAAGGATATTTCATAGCCTCGAATAGATCAGAACTCTATTTCATCATTACCGTTTATCCCAAAATTAAAGAAAATGTATTAATAAATATTTTTATATCAGTAAATTAATATTTATTGTTAAGATGTAGCATCAATGGCTTAGAAAAGTATAATAATTGAGTTATAAAACTCAGTGGTGTATTTATGGGAGAGGGGAGTTTCCAACCCCCCTAAAAAAAAAAGTTTGTAAATATGCCATTAGTTTAATTTAAACTAATATGTAACATTGAGTAAAATATTAAAATTAAAATTAACACATATTTATTAAATATAATATAAATAAAATATTGAAGTAAAAATGAATATGGTAATTTTTGATTTAATAGCAATAAATTCTTGTATTGAAATATAAATAAACACATTTTATAGGTACAATATTTATGAAGATAAGTATAAAATTTAAATCTCATTAGTGTTTACTGTGAAAAAATCGTTAGTACTATACATACATTTCAAATTCTCAACATATATACGAGTACTGCACTCGGCAGATTATCTTTTCATTTTAAATTATCGGTATATCATTCATCTACATTATATAAATCAGCTACTAGCTAAGGAAGGAATGTCAAATTCAGAGTAAAACTTAAGTCAAAACATGTGTACAAACAATTTTTTAGGTTGCGAAAAAAAATTATAATAATTATTTATTTATTATTACGAACAATTAAATATACGTTCGAACGAACGGAAATATTAAATATTGATGAAATATTAAAAATTAGATAAATATTGAAAAAGTTATTTAAAAAAAAAACACTGCTACTGAGGTACAGGTACATACTACATACATATTAAATAATATATACATTTAATAAAAGAATTATAATCATTATAAAGTACATATTTTGTATTAGTATTATTTTTTGAAATTATTCAAATACATTTTTGTTTAAATAATTATGAAAAAAAGAAATTATTTAAATTATAAAATAATCGAAAATTATTCGAATTACCATAGATTAAAGTTATTAAAATAATTATCTAGATAAAATTCTGGGTCATAAGTATATATTTGAAAATATTACTGGCTACGTGTTATTTTAGAGATGGTATTCGCCAGTGTAAATGTGCTCAACTAAAAATGTAGCAACGTATCAATCGATGTAGATTGGAAACGAAATTTTAAGGCAAATTTTAATTCAGACATACCATCCTGGAGCGTTTAGTAAGTACATACGAAAACAATATTTATTAATCATTATTATTTACCTATTATATTATGTACACTATATAAGCGTAACAGTTGTTAGTTAAGGTTATGTATTTTTTTATATTATTATAAGTTGTACTTTACTCCTTTAAGTCTTTAATAAATTGGATATGATATGCTATCGGTTAATTATAAATTTTCAATTATTTTTATCATAAAGTCTAATGGCCTCTGATGAATTTTCTCTCTTATTGGATAGCGCTTCTATATTGTTATAGGTAATGTCTAACATTTTTTACAATTCCTTTGATGAAAACCAGAAAAAGTTTAATAATACTTATACATAGACATATAGTTATTTTGTTAATTCAGTTTAAAAGCAATAAGTTTTTTTTATAAATTCTTTGAATAAGATCAACACAATATCCATTATATAGTTTGAATATTTATAAATTATTTTAAACAAAAATAAAATTGATGCCATAGTTATAATAAAACTTTTATAAATTAATAAAATAAAAAAATTAATAGGTGCATTATCAATTGGTATAAAATATAACTATATAGATCATTACGATAATTTTGCAACCCTTACTCAAAAGTAAGGTTAACCTATATCCCGATAATACGTGACACATCGAACATTGTCGAGTGACGAGATATATTGCAACTCTTTGTTAGAAATGGTAAAGTTTGATTGTTGTTGGTACCGGCGTTAAAATCGTAAGTTCGTGTTATTTTTAAACAAAGTGTCAGAGTGGACATTCTAGACGCCAAATGGTGTATTGTTAAACTGTTACTTTGGTTGTTTCTTTTTGGATGGGTGAAAACTTGAAAATCAAGGTGAATAGCACAACATTTATTTTATAACTTATAATTATTGAGTCTTAAAACAATAATCGTCAAGATAAAATACTAGAAAATATTATTTTAATATATTACAGAGATTTTTATGATTATATATTTACATAACATTATTACATTTATCTGTATAATTATTGTAACTGCATTGAACCGTTGCATTATCTTAATATTTTTAAGCATTTCATTAAAATAACACATAAAATAAAATAGGTATATCATTGGTACCAACCATTTTATTGTTAGCATACCAAATATATTTATCATATTCGAGTAAATTGACTTGGATTACATTAAATTAATTACATGATAATAACACATATTCAATATTATTCACAAATCAAAAAAAAGAAAAAAAAATGTTTAATATTAAATATAACAACAAACAATATTAATATTTCATATTTATATACTTTGTTTTTTTTTTTTTTAATAAATATTAAACTTGTAAATAACACGACGAAATGGTTATTTTTGAAAAAATCACGAAATAGAAAGAATTTAAATTTAAGTGAAATAGTTTATTGGCACATTTAATGTTTAAAGCTTAATTTATTACAACAAGGGCAAAATAAAATATAGTATAATAGTCACATTACAGCTTATTACACATCCATTATAGTTGCATGTGCGTGTTTATCCGACAGGAATAAGTCGAAATAAAAGGTAACTTCCATTAATACTCATATAATAGTTGTCCATACGCTTTTTAAATATCATCCTAGTCGAACAAAATTATCTGGTGTCCTGGAGTAACTGTAAAAACATAAACAATTTAAATGTATACTAATTCACATTATCGTAATCATAAGATATTATCGATAGGTAGTCATTGTTATAAGTGTTATAATTATGGTAACCACGTGGTCTACAAAATTATAACATGTTCTTATATAACGTCAAAGTAGGTATAATAATAAAATGTATATATTTTTTTTTTACTAATTAGAATATCTGAATATTTATACATAATATATTTATCGGAAATAGATTTTTCAACGAAATCGTTATACAGGGATAATTATAATACATTAGGTATACAAAAATTAAACGGTAGGTAAACCTATAATTTTTCTAGAAAATTAATAAAATACTTTTAAAAATAATTTATGTTACATTTAATTCCAATTTTATTTTAATGCGTTTTTTTTTATTAATAGTAACATTTTATTATCACTTTCTGCTGTTATAAATTTAATTGACTTTTTGTATAAAAACATAAGTTTATAGTAAATTCATATTGCATAATATGTCAATCTTCATTTACTTTAAATTTAAAATTTAAAATGTTGTGTTTTTTATTTTTTATTTTAGTAAAGGTGCTTTTTATGATTTTTTAATGTGAATTACCAAAGAAGGTTGTATGCATTTTTTCTATAGATATTTATAATTTTGCAACACTTGTTCAATCAGCTAAATTCGTTTTTTGATTTTTCGCATTTTCTCAACCTTTCTAACACAAAAATCATACATTCAAATTTTTTTCTTTTATTCAATATTAAATTTCTATATTTATGTCGATTTTCGAACTTAACGCTAAAATTTGTGTACCATTCGCTCCAGTAATTAAAAAAGTTTTTTTTATGTTTTCATACATTTCCTTAGCTTTATAATATGATTTAATTATTAAACAATCATATTTAAAATATTGAAAGTGTGCAATTTATATTTTTCATATTTAAATAAAAATTAATTTTAGAAGCAAAAATCCAAAAATGTTACTTTTATCAATAAGATAATCCATAAGAGTGATTTTATACTAATGTAGGATGACTAAATTATTTTTAAAACATTCAATTTTAACTTCATTTCATCTAATTATTTAAATTTTGAAACAGGTATCAGAATAATTTATTGCGTTGAAATTTAGTACACGTGATTCCTTATAAATTACTTTAAGATGCACAAATATTTCAAATTTAATTTAACATATAAATATGATAAAACAAATTAATAGATTTGTATTTACCATGAAGTTACATTTTCCCTGATATCGCAAGCACCAATAAGTTCATTGAATCCTAGTCCTGTTCCACAATTGTATAGCCTAGGTCTACCGCTAACGCAAAGATAAAATTTTTGACAATCCATGGAGTTAGGATGGAGCTTGTGACCTTCCAGCGGGTTATCTTCTGGTGGGCATCTGAATCCAAGGAATGCTGTAAATTATCGTAGAGATTTTAATAAATTGATTCTTACATATTTTTGGTTATATGTACATTATTATATTAAATATTATGTAGTTGTTGTGCAAACAAATATAATTTAAATTTTAAAGATATATATATTTATTTATATTCACGATGATTATATAGATTTGACTGTGCACGAAATAGTTTCATAACATATCGTGATTTTTGTTATGTAATTCCAATTTCAAATATGATATAAAATAAGATTTTTAATGGTTTTTTATAATTTTTTTATTCGTGTATAATTGCTACGTGATATGTATGTACTATAATTAGAAAAAGTCATTGCTACTGCATTGTCGGGGTTGAGTATTCGTTATCAACATTGTTGTAGTTAATAGTAAATACGGTTTATTAAACTTAAAAGTATTCAAAAATAAACCATATAGCTTAATAACTATGCAAATCAATCAATATTTGTCTCACTGCATATATTATATTGACGTATTACCATAAAACTGTTAATGTAGATTAATTATATTATAAATTAGTCCTATATTTGATATTTAAAAAACAGATCTAGATCATGGATCGTCAATTTGAATTTTTAATGTTTGTTCACTTCATGCTTGGTGTGTGCATTCAATTCAAATATTCAATACTTAATTAGATTTATGAAAACTAATAACACTTGTCGTGTGTGAATGCACGGGGAATAGGATTTATAAACGTGATTCTCATTGACACGCATTGCACATAAATAAATATTGCTAATATTTATATTGCACAATATAAATTAATTTGTACATTGCTCATTATAATATCAACATGTATAAATATATCATATTATGTGTGTAAGACGTAGATGTCTGCAGACTATTTACTATTCGTATAAGCTTAGCTTTTGACTTTAGTCTTTGTTTTTGACTTATTGTATTATTAATGTAGTAGCTAATTTAACGTTTTTATTTTACATTAATGTTTACCTTCTGCGTCACACGTGTCTACCTGATCCGGCCAGTCGCATCTAAACGTCAACTCATTGAATGCCAATCCTTCGGGACAATCAAATTTGTATCCTATGCCGTTTACGCAATTAAGAAATTGACCACATTTTGTCTCGTCACCCAGCCGAAAGTAACCGAATTGTCTTGGACAGTCGCTGGTAGATTGCGGGGGTTCTATAAATACATTAAGTAAAGATTTTAGTCTTAAGACATTAATTATCACTGAATTTCACTATATAAAATTATGTATAACCTCGCCGCTTATTTATATCAAATTTGATACTTTGAAATAGCCAATTTACTTAGAATCATGATTCATTATTCTTATACTGTAAATGGAAATTATAAACAAGTTATTAATTTAAATAAAACTTACGCAATTGGGTTCTTCCTTCACAATCTACTTCTGGTGGATATTGGCACGGGTAAGAGAATATTGATGACTTAGAGTTAAAGAACAGTCCATCAGGACATAATTTTTCTGCGGGTACGCCATTCTCGCATTGTAAATATCTAATATAACACACATTTTTTACAACAAAAATCTTAAAAAATAATATTGTAAAAGTTATTACAGCTAGTAAAAATTAAGACGTCAAAATAAAATAAACAAAGTTATGAAAAAATAATAACAATGATAATAAAAAACAATTACATTTTGTAAAATTAAATTATAATTTCAGTAAACTTTTAAATTGTGATATTATATACAATAAATTAAATAATTTTAAACTTCGATATACACACACACACACACACACACACATATATATATATATATATATATATATTATACATTTCTACATAATATAATATTTACTTTAATGAGATTTTTTACTATTTATTTCGTATACCTAATTTATTCATGTCTAAATTTACTATTATTATCATTTGCATCCATTTACCTATATTCAAATATATACAGAATGATTATTTTAAAGGTAATCACTAATTTTCTCGAGAGGTTTTCATTTTTTTGGAAATATATTTTTAGATAATTTAAATTCGTTATAAAACTATATTTTTACTATTTTTTATTGCTATAATTTTCATAGTTTTTTTCATTTTATCGAATTTAAGAATATTTTTTTTGTTGATATTTTCAATATCTATTTATCTGTCAACGCATGTATATATAATAAAAAGAATATATCTATGTTTGAGTTGGAATTATAGACTTGGACACTATTGAACCAATTATCATTAGATTTTAATGCCTTGGCACTTGTGAAATGTTTATAGTTTTTATTATCAATCCATGAAAATGGCTCACGAAAATCGAAATTGTTTTGTTCATTTATATGATTATTGATGTCCATTGGTTGTAGAAAAAAAGTTGCTTTAATAGAATTTATATATATATATAAAATAATGTATGTAAAAAGAGAAATTAATTAGTGAAAAAAATATAGATGAATGAAATAGAGTAGTACAGAAAAACATTAATCTACTTAATCCTTAAGTTATAACTAACTAATTAATTACTATAGTTTGAAATTCTTAGAAAAATATTTTGCTAAATAAAATGAAATAAATAATGTATGATATAGTTACAATTATAACAGTGAAAATAGAAAAATATACAACAAATAAAAAAAAAATAAATTAATATTCTTTTGTAATTATTTCAAATTATTAGGTACTTATTTAAAAAAACCTATTAGGTTCTTAAATACAATAAATCACAAACCAAATAAAAATTAGTACCTATATGATGAGAAATCAACACTGTACCATCAATTATTTTATTATAACGATATATGGAACATATGGAGTATAAATCCTAAAAAAAAAAGAAAAGAAAACAATTCATTAAAATTGATTTTGAGTTTTAATGTTTATGCTTTATTGCGTTATCTGTTTTATTGTTTTATATATATATTTATATATAGATCGAGCTATATTCTGAATTATCGTTGAACTATATTATATGATCAAATAATAATAAACTTAAATTAATGATCATACATGGTTACGCTGCATCGCGCGAGTTGGCGTTATCTATGAACAGTAGTACGCACACGTACCTATGTTATCTATTATACATTTTTTTCCCAATACGATAATGTTATTGGTTACTCATAAGTTATAATGACATACGTCAAAACTCACTTGTCGCACTGGTTGCCCAACGGGTATCGTCCGTTTCTTTCTGGACAAACGCTATTACCTGTACACGTCAAAAATTAGACAAAAATTTGTCCGACTATTAATTTCATGCAGTGTGTCGCCTACATACTTGTGGCCGCGTCGCGATCGTATCTGTCGTTGTCTAAATACTGTCGCTGCCTCCTGACTGTCCTTCGCGTTACACCACCTGAAAATGATAATATAATTAATTATCCAATCTGACGATAATATCTATCCGTAATATTTTAATAAACGATAAATATGCAGTATAGATTATTGATGGATTGATCAGAAACATTTTCATATTCTTTTCAAATTCTCTGTCTGTGATTTTTTTGTTCATGTGTTTGTGACAACTCCCCTCACAAACATGCTAGATCTATAACTACATTCCCTCATCTTATTTAAATCCCCCCTCCATAACACCTGACTGATTGCATTTGTCTTAAGTTTACTATATAATAATGTTCTCAAATTAAGCACGTAATGTTTATGACATCGGTGAACGCGCGTATTAAATACTTAATTAATTATATACATTGTATTTTTAATTTAGGTACAACACAAAAATAATAAGTTTCATTTATTCAAAAAAAAATTGTGAGTAAATTAAATATAAATTTAATAGGCAAAAAATGCTATCAAACAATTTAATCATTTTAATAACTGTGCAATAAAAGTTGTGTTGTACTGTGTGACGTCTTAAAGTCATAAAATTTGATGAAAAGTAAAAACACTGATTTCATTCAGGTCTAAAATTTACCGCGATTAATATTTATAGAATACGATAAAATAGTTACTTATAGAAAAATACTATTAGTCTAATTAATATGTAAAAAATAAATTGCATTAAATGCGACTTATTTTTCTAAATATTTTCCGCATTAACTTTTGAAGCATTCATAATATATTTTAAGCAATTTTAAAGATAGTTAAATAAAATATAAAATTGCATATTGATTGTAACGTTGTGTTAATACTAATTAAAAAGTTATAAATTATATTTCATAATTTTGTTCTGTTTCATACACGATTTAAATTAGTTATTCTATGTGATCTTACTATTTTAATACCAAGAAAACACTTACAAAAATCACTGTATTTCTAAGTAACTTAGAATACTTGCAATAATAATAATAATAATAATAATAATAATAAAAAAAAAAGTAGTTACTAAAAATACATTTCTTATATATAAAACGATAGGATAGTCAATTTAATGTTTTGTATCTTAAATTAAAAAAAAAAAAACTAATATTAAAACGTTACCATGTCCATTTCACATAGTCCAAAGACACAAGACAGAAATCATATAGATTACAAACGGTAAAACTAGGTCTGCATCGTACCGACGAAATAGTAACACCTATAAGTACTATAACGTCTGTCCAAATACTTGAGCAGGCGGGGAAAATTTTGTATCCGGTAATATACGTTATTCAACATACTTGTAGTCGGAGTATTGTAATAATATTATTATTACAATATCAGTTTAAACTTTAAATACATGTCGTTATTATTAATTATTACACAACGGGTGATCTATGGTTCTTCTCTCGTGAATGCGGCAATACGCGTCGCCCGAAGACCATGTGCCGACCACCCGGAGACTTGGGCGTTTTGAATTATGAATTATGATCGTTGTACGTTGTTTATAGACTGTTTAGAAGTATTATTATAGGCGTAAAGTACGCGCGCATCATTTTATAACATACGAACACATTATTTGCGGACTACAGTCTACAGTTGTGTTTGTATACTACAATAAAATTCGATATTGGTATTGGGTATAATATTAAATTTATTATAATATTCAAAACGGCACGTTGTAATGTCAAAGTTTTTATAGCTCTTGACGATAACCTTTAACGTTGAATTAATAATTACTGTGTCACTTCTTTCGTCGTGATGACATTTGAAACTAAAACGTTAAATTATTATTTACTTATTTTAATATTATTATGTTTGGTTTTTAAAAAGTATACTATTTGAACTTTTGACCTTGGCTTTATGATAGACTTATACAGTGCAAATATAAAAATTTTGTATTTTTTCTTTAAATGATATTTTTTTACATATTTTTGTGGTCTTGGTGTTAGTATGAGAAATCTTAAGAACGCCTGAACGCGTATAATTTTAATATTATTATTTTTTAAGAGTTTTAATAATTATTATCGTTGTATATTTATATATAATTAAGTTTTAGTAGTGCCTACGTGTTTTGTAAAGTTTTGATTAATTATACAGTATTTTACTGATTAATTAGGTAGTATTATCTCGGATGTGTCAGAAACGCGTACAATAAACGTGCTGTACGATTTATTCATAACTACAAAATAGCTTACATGGTGTAAACTAAAAGATGTAATGTAAAATTTTTACTTAAAACAATATACCATACGTAAAAATGAAACGTTGTTTTATGCTTATTTGCACACGATCAAAAAGGTTAAACGGTTTATTTGAAGTGGCAGGCAATTGACAGGTTACATGTATGAACATGTATTATATTGTATGTACATAATGTTTTCCAACAGAACTATTGACAGTAAACTGTAATTCGAATTTAATGACTATCAACATTTTGCAGTAATATCATGTGTTCGTTACAAGTGCGAGATATCATACAATCTGTAATCTATCGTAATATATTATCAATGTCAATTGCAGGCCAATTGTGAGTAATGAGTAGCCTATAATATTATGATTAATATTGTGTACTATGTGATGTTGATTCGTTGAGTCGAGTTTTCTAAGAATATTAGTGTAGTATTTTCGATTCATTACAGTGATGAACCGCAAAGTGGATTAAAAGAAATCGCGGTGGATATTAAATTTATTAGTTTCATACAAAATATATAATATATTCCTTTTAAATAAATAAAAACGCATATTTTTATTTAAAATATGGCTAAATAGGTGAATTTAATTTTTATAAAATTACCAATTGTATAGCCCCAATGACATCTTAGAAAAAAACGAATAAAAATAAAATAAGACACCATATCGGTATATGTATTTCGGTTTTAATGTATATCAGTTTACGGGCAAATCGACATTGTTGCACCTTGCTCTGTGAACTAATTCGACTGTGATGGAAATCTGCCTGTGAGGATATCATATAATATACCGCTTGGTATATTTTAAAATGTGGTTCAAATTACTTTTTTGATATTTCTGAGAACAATCTTTAAAATTTCCATGAAAATCTGACGAGCAGTTTTTTAAGTATATAAACTATACAGTATACAGACATTGCCTTTTGTTGTACATTTAATAACAGACAATAAATTTCATTTTATTTTATTCAAAATATTCCATTTTGGTCGAATAGTCTATATTTTATTTTTGTTTTTTGTAAGCCAAAACGAAATTTAAATGTGAGTCATTTCATGGTAACCTATAGGGGTTGAAAAATTAAGTAAATAACATTCCCCGAGTCTTAGAATATATGTGCCAAATTTAGAGTCAATTGTTTCAATAATCAATAGGTCCCATAATTATTTTCATATTATAATAATTTAAAATTTCAATTTTTCCATAAACGATGCATTCATCATGGAAAATACTACGGCAGTAGTAGTGACTTATCCCTTTAATTCTTGAGATATCTGTGTTATACATATAAAGTCGTTTGTCTGGTGTATAAATACACAGCTCACAACTATTAACAACTATGTATTAGAAATTAGAATATATTTTAATAATTTATTAAATTATACCCACGGATCAAAGCGCAAAACCAGTGTTTTGGGACTCGAAATAACAAAATTCGATGACGATGTTTGACTAGTTGTTAATTAATCATTTTAGGAAATTTAGAACGGCTTTCGTCTCTAGGGTATTATCCGACTGACCTGCAGGTGATGAGTAATACACACAACAACAGCGGCGTGGGATGTAAATAATATAGATGCTCCTCGGTGTAATGAATACTATTATTATTTATTATCTATCTCAAATTGGACCAAGCTAACAATAGACACATTTGCGCTGGCGGAAACGGGTCGTAGATTGCGCCCGCTACATGAAGATTCACGAAAGGTGCGCGGTGGAACGTTGCACAACGGCGTCCAGACGATTCCGTGTCGTGTTTCAATTTGGGGAGGGAGTGGTGAGGGAACCTAGCTACAGTGATGACTAAAAGGGGAGACTGTTGATGCTACGTCGAGGCACACGAGTGTCGGAGGTTAAAGTCGGGTCGGGATTTCAGCCCGAGGTAATCACGCTGCAACTGCGGCGGCTCCGGCGAGGATGAGCTCGCGGTTTTTTCATATTTAATAATACAGTCACTTATATAACGACCGGGCCGCATGTACATATAGCAATCATGTGCAAACAATACGTGTGCGTGTGCTTTATGCGATTTAAAAAGGGCGTCTGTGTGCGGCCGATTATCGTCGTTAGGTTAGGTTAGTCATCATTGTCGGAGTAGAAGAAAGCGTTGGGATTCGAATAATTGTTTTCGCTGTGCAGTTTGCGTGGACGATTCGATCGCGGATTTTACTAGGTGCGAAATGACGTTTTTTTGTCATTACAGTGGTTTTCTTTCTTTAAAGACTTCATACCTATATACCGGATATAATTAATTTATATTTTTGGAGTAATTCACGATGAGGAATTTGGGAAATTTTTGAAGGATATCGAGATCCCATGTTTGTATAATATTTAACAGGTCAGCAAAAAAAAAAAAAAAAAAAATGAATTAATAGAAAACCTCATTTAATTAATCGTAAAAAATAATTATTTAAAGAATAAAATATACTTATCTTGTCTGTGGGTTGGATAAGATTTGTCACAGGCCGTTATCTAATGACTTCTATATAGAAATAGCTAAACATAGACAGAGTGGTACACAAGGCATGCTCACCTCTAGTTTATCATTTAATGAATTTATTAAAATTTTGGTTTTTGAAATTTTTAAATATACTAAAAAAATTATGTTAACAAATTTTTAAGATTTTTTTGTAGCATTTAAGGAAAGTGTTGTGGTGATCTATATTTCTATTTTTAATCCCCTTTTTACTGTAAATTATTTTTACTTTTAATATTTAATGGATCATTATTTTAAAAATTTTTATGTACCTAATTTAAAATTCAAACGAATAGTTTTTCAGTTTTTAAAACGATTATATTTAGGGTTATATTACTATTGAAAATGATTTTATGAAAATTTAAAATAGATTTAAAGCCTATAGGATCTAGTATTTATTATATATAGATAATGTGTGTATATTATAATTAATATTGATATATAAACATAAATTACTAATATTTTCAAATATCCAAGCCTCATAACTTTTAAATTTTACTATCCTTATGGTACAAAAAATTAAATAGCTCAAATATTACTTGTTTCAATTTTGATTTTTTTTCGTCAAAATTTTCAGAAAAATTATCTACTAAATAATTTAAAAAACATAAGCTTTTATCTCTATAAAGTCACTCTTAAAGTAATAGAAAAAAAATTCAAAAATTTCAATATATGAGCTTTAATCATGCCTGAAAATTTCAATTATTAGATTTTAATAATTGTGTTATTGAAAAATCAAAAAGGGATAAAGATAATTGATGAATCCCCGGTATACTACTGTCTACTGTTTTTTGATTTTAATTCACACACTCGTACCACCTGCTAATCATAATAGAGCCGTTAATAATTATTTTATAACTATGAATTTAATTGTTTTTTTTTTAAATAGTATTTATATTATTTCTACGGCTTTTAATTCTTTCGATCCCAAAAATTACTGTGAATATCGTCATCAAACCAATATTAGTTCTACATAATTATAAAGTTAAAAAAAAATCTTTCACGAAGAGGAAAAGAATATTATACTTATATAATACCAAATAAGTATATCGGATAAAGTGTTTTATTTTTTATCTTGATAAAGTCAAACAATTGTTGTCCTGATATAGCAACTCACATTACACACATATTATACAATACCTATTAAGTTAAAATATATCGTCGAAAACCGTGAGCAAAAACTACGTTTATTGAATGTAAATGGCCGAAAATACAGATACGTCGAATCGTCAATGGTAATAACGCTTAATAATACATATACTGATACTCATTGAACATGTCTGAATGAAAAATGTATATTTTTCTAACGAGAGATTCTACTGGAATGGGTTTAATATCATGATCGCCGCTCAATCCGACTAATGATAATATAATGCTATATAATTAAGTTTATTATGAATACGGAAGGAGATCATGCCGCGCACGGCGGTTCATAAATATCAAGACGGAATAATATAGTGCAATAATTAACGCTAAAAATTTTGTTATTGTTAAATATGTTATGGGGAAATTTAATAATAATGTATTCATACATAATAAGCGTTCACAATAATTTAATTCTAATGTTCGAAGATAGCAGTCAGAATAAAATCAAACGTTTTAACTCCGTGTAACGTGTTGCGTGATACAGACGAGTGAAAAATTATGCCATATTTGAAAAATTATAACTGATTTTAAAAGTTAAAGGTTAAGGTTTTGTTTTATAATGTTGTGATCTGAATGTCTTGTATTCGTGGTTTTGGGCAAACGGCCAGTGATGCCTTTTAATGATTATCTCGAAGGACCTCGTCCTTGGGTGATATCGATTATCTGATAAAATATTGTCCTTGCGAGTTTAAAGAATCACGTTTGACTAGTAAATTCATAATACATTAAATTCCACGCCTAGAAGCTTTGAAAAGCTCGAACGATAAAATAAAGATAAAATAAAATTTCATTATTCATTCAATTTCTCTAAAAAATCTTTGAATCAATTTTTTAACCTTGAATCAGATTGATCATATTGTTCTCATATTTTTTAACTCCATGTAAAGACTTATGATTTAGCTATTGATTTAATGTTTATTTTCATGACAAAAAAACTTTTATTCTACCTACTATTCTTATTATTCGTCAGTAACAATGTAAATCATTTGATAAATTGACATATATTGAAACAGTTATACCTATAAACGTAATTTTTCTATGTTGCTTAATAATTTCAATACCTATTGAAAGTGCAATATCTATGAGATTTTCAATATTTATGTAGATACTAAAAAACAACATTCAATTTTCAATAAATTTAAAAAGTGCGATTTATTATTGACATTATTACTATTATTGATTACTTTATTCTCAAAATTGACTTTTGAAATAAGTTCTTAAAGATTGAGTGATTAAATAAATAATACATTTTTTTAAATTTTTTTTTATTTTGAATTAGTATTGTTATTATTTACTTTTACTCTGCATTGATTTTAAACAGATATTTTGAAAGTAGTTAAAATAGTAGCTAAAGAATAATTAAATCATTTATATATTATTTATTATATTCATTTTAAGATTTTATTTTGAAATCAATAGAATTTTCTCGAAAAATACAGTTTTTACGAATGATTTATTTCAAACTATGTATGCAATTTATTTTCTTATTGTTCAGAAAAAGAAATTGTTTACTCAAACAATATCATCTTATATTTTAATATAGCGTATTTAATCATACTGAATTCTCATGAATGCAAATGTTGGCCATCATACAGTCTACAAGAAAGCAAATTACGACAAGCTATAATGGATTATAATATTTTATATTGTCTACGACTCCCACGAAACAACCGGAGTGCACCACCTAATAGCGATTTATAATGTTTCAGAAGTCCAATTTCAATCTTAATGTCCTATTATACGCTTCCTACGCAATATTAAGAAATTACGTATAATTATATTTTATAGTTATTGCTAGAGAATACTCGTATGCGCATCTTTTTGAAATGTTATAATAACGATGAACATCAACTAAACGCGGCAAATACGATGCAATTATTATTACTTAACGTTTATCAACCGTGTTCTATGTATTGTGTCGTTATCAAAATGTTGCATTGTGCTTACAAAATTACGTATTAACCTGCACTCGACCTATAATAATGCAATAGAACGGACTTTTTTTTTTTTGATGAAAAGGTCGTCAATAATATGGGTCGTCCGTGGAAATTATATTATTATGCGGTAATATTGAAACAAAAAATAAATACAACGTACAATGCCGCATGGGTGCACGCAAACCGATCGCGAATTGATAGATGAACAGATGATGTATAATGTGAAAGTTTTAATAATCGAAAAACTCGCGCATTCGAGAACACATATATAATATATTATAATATTATACAGTAATTTAATACACGTTTGCGTGTGAACATCGTCGCAAAAATCGTTTAATCGGATTGATAAATACTTTGAGAGTGTTGTACCATGCAAACAGAAAAAAATAAGTAGTTTTAAGAGGACGGTGCCGCGCCGCGTTGTTATGCACAACAATACCGCGCGCATGATTTGTGTTGTGCTCGTCCGTTCGTCAACCGAATATCCGAATACGTAATCCGGCAAAATTACAGTTCTGTTGCAGTCGAAACGAAATTAATATGAAATATTACAGAACACGCGATACGACCTATTGCGAAACGCATACGCATCTGTTGTAGACAATAAAATATTATGAGCCGTCATTGCGTTATTGTTGTTATTTTTAAATGTATTTTAAAATGTTATAGGTATGAAAATGTGAGCGATTACCACTCGGAGGGATTGACGCCGTGCAGTCGTTTCGTCAAACTGGCAACGCGCGTCGCTGTATCCGCCACTTATTAAAAGTTAAAAATCATCAAAAGTAACGTCAAAATCGATTTTTTTTCTAATGATATTAAAATTTTATATTGAAATTGAAAAAAGTTTGAATCGATAATTCATACCAATCGTTTATTAATTGTTATATGTACATTAATTTGAACATTAAAAGAAAATAATTAAAATTTAAGACTCAATAATAGCAAATATAGATTACAATAAGGTTCACCGGTAGGTAATCAACTAATAAGTAATGATTAGTATTTGGTTTTCTTTAACCTGTTTTATAGTCACGCGCAAACGACTACAAGTTTTTCGTAGGTGTGTAGAAATCAAAATTAAAACCTAAAAAATTTAAGCGATTGGTATTGTATATAAATCGAAAAAAAAGAAATTTTTGTTGAGATTTTGATCATGAGTCATTTAACAGTTAAATCAGTATTGCATGACAACATACAAATTGTAAAATCAATAAATTATTTTAAATTTAAATCAAAAATCACGGTTTTTGTCTAAAAATAAAATCGAAATTATATTCGAAAATTTTTATTTCGACTTAAAGCTCGGTTTTCTATACAGAGTAATTTCGTCGGCGAAGAAAATGGAATGCAATCGATCAGTCGCCCCGTCGCGTGCAGTGCAACGGCAGTAGTCAAATCGGTCCGTCGTAACTCGTAGGTAAAACAATATAACGATATCGTAGTGTTTACTATACGCCCTTACTGGCCGTGTCGTGAGATGAAACATAATAATTAATAACAATATTACTATCATAAAAATATATTCAATAATAATGTGATACGTCAATACGTGCACTGACCTGCATAAATGACCGACGTGGTTGCGATCACCGCGACGACGACGAGTACGCGAAACATAACACCGACGTAATGATTTATAATAATATAACGTGCGTAACGACGTATTCGGACGGATCGGTTCGAGCGACAAAAACGCACTGCAACGATCGCGCGTGCTCGTCGCCGCCGCGACGGTCTGGGCCGGTGTTGCCGCTGCAGCGGTGGGACGAGGAAGGATCGCGTACGATATAATACGCACACGACTGTAATATAATATAAATATATATATATATATATTATATTTTAATGCCCGCCATACCATTATCAAAAGTTGCATAACGTGTGCAAGATGATCTGAACAACATTCTTCCATCTCGCCCGAGCATGTATGCGTGCACACCGATACAACGCTGTATTAAAAATATCTATAATGTATACAGAGTGATTTTCCAAGCACACGCTCACCTACCCCCTCGCGTTTTCTTTGTTAACGCGTTATACTTAAATTGGATTTTTTTTCAAAATTTATGTTCTAACTTATTTACTTATTTATTTATTTATTTTTTTTTTTTTTTGAGGACCAAAAGACTTTATCACTTCCTAAGACGATTCTGAAAATTATAATTATAATTACTATATCTAATAAAATAGTAATAGATTACCATTAATAATTACTCTGAATATCAAGATATGATTATAGGTCTCATTATCTTAATACACAAAGTTAAAGATCTCAAAAACATCTTGTCCAAATTCTAATTTAGGTAGGTATACCATTAATTTTAAAAGAGTCATCTGCTACACAGTTTATAGGAAAAAATCGGTACCGTTTCAGGATATTTCTTAAAAGGTAAAAAAATAAATGTTTATTTGTAAAAATATAGTCATGGACTGTATACAGACTGGATTTTCTCAAAACAAGATTAAGTAGTGGCGAACGGGATTTGGAAGAGCTTATTTGATCCGTCAGTTAATGTAGTTTAACAAATAGTATTTGTATTTAGTTATCATCGTGGTGCGGTGGAGATTTGTTTTCATCCTTATCCCGTCACTCATTACCCTGCACTGAAGAATTCAAAAAACCATTATTAAAGGATACGATCGATGAATCACTCTGTATATTATTTTATTAAATAAGTAGTTTTGCTGGTATATAACATAATAATATCGTATGTAGTAATCTTTAGGTATTTCAGATAATATTATGCATTCATATTACCTATTCTATATTTATGGCGAGTAGTCGTGGTGAGGATCGTGAAATTGCAACAGTAGCATCGCTTGTAGTAATATAATTATTATCATTAACGATTAAATGCAGTATAAACGTTACAAAAAAAATTTAAAAACCCATAGTTGATTAAAATTAAATATAATTATGTATGTTCGTATAGCTTAGTATTTATCGTATATAAAATACTTTTTTATGGCGTTTTTACGTAAAGTATTTATTTTTTTTATTAGCCTAATAATTATGTTGAAATTAACTCTAGACAGTTTGTCATTTATTACAATGATAATTTTAGGCCATAAATATAAAATCCTCAATTCTACAATAAGGTCTTATTTTCGATGTTGTCTTTTGTAGACTAGATTGTTTATCTACAACTATTATTTTTATAATTTGAATACGAAAAAATAGTGCAACTATATGAAAAAAAAAAAAAATCACTTAAAAAGAAAAAAATAACAAAGTAAAAGTTTCATTTTTCTTTGATGTATGAAACCAATTTTGTGCTTGAAAAACAATATAATAATTATGTCTTATGCATTCAGAGAAAAATGCAATTTTAGTTTAAATTCATGTCTTATAGTTATTGTACCTAAATGGCTATAAAGTCATGTAAGTCTCTTTCGATGACGGGTTTTTTTTTTTTGTCGGTTTATCTTAGAGTTATTATATGATAACCTCCTCTCTTACTGGCTTCGGGGCGACTACGACACCCGTCGTCGTCATAGTCGTCGCCATCAAGGCAAGGTCGACGACAATATGTTGGCAGACGCGCCGCCGCCGCGACAGAGTTTTAATACGTAATATTACTAATATTCATATCTATATTGAGTACAGGTATAAGTAAGTATTTAATATACAAGATAATTTTTTACTGTGGTAAATACAATATAGGTATAATTTAGGTACCTGTGAGTCGCGTATATGTTTTATTTTTCTTATAGTCGAATAAGACTCATAATTTAAAATGAATGCTATAGGTACATATTTTTTCTTCGTTATGTGTGTTATCGGATGGGCATATTATACATATTTTTAGCTGTTACTGCCGCACATTGAAAGATTCGACACGAGGTCGCCAAGCACTACTCATCATTGACTGATCTTTTCTCCTGGCACTAGTGTATGGTGTGTGCGTTTAATTTAATCGAAAACACACGGTCACGTCGTGTGTAAGCGATGTATATCCGTTTTCCTCGCGTTCCTGTAATGTTGATTGATAAACGTATTGATGTTGTATACAATTACTTGAATTCATTTTTCAGTTTTCTCGTAGTAATCACTATCGTTAATAGGTAGATCGTTTTTCATCATTCTTATTACACAATATTAATATATATATATATAAGTACAGAACTATTCTAATAAAATGTTCGAATTTCTCATCGATACATGTTGATCACCCATACTAACACTTTAAATAAATAATGAATTCAAAAACAAATAAATACATACAAATCCGTTATGTGTGTATTCGATAATTATTTAATGGATTTTTAACCAACAGTAATTTTATCATTTTATAGCTGTTTTCCTCGATATTGTATTTTGGCTACAGTAATATTTAAATTATCTGTGTATATTTATTAGCTGCACAAATATTGTACCTATTATACATTTATAAATATATATATACGAAAGACATAATATTTATTTTGTTTGACGTTTTAACATGATATAACCTATGCAATTTCCCGTACTTAGTAAATAATTAGATCATACTAGGTATATCTGGATTTATATATAAATACAAATAATTTAAAAATAATTTTTTTTTTAGATATTCTAACATTATATGTAATATAGTATTTTATAGTATTCTAAATAGTCAAGTACGTTAAATCCTACCATACAATGGAAATTAGAAACGTATATTATGATACTATTCCTATTATTAGGCTTTTAGGTATACATAATATTAACAGGTACATATTTAAATAAATGATTTATGTACTAAGAATATCAATAGGTCCATTATAATCGACTTGAAATGTATGGAGAATATGATGATTTGAATATTTTATTAACTTATCGGGATAATTAGTAAAAATAATCATTCAGTACCAATTTTATATTTAATCCTACAAACATAATGGCTATCAATTAAAATATAGTACCGACTAAATTCTCGTTAATCTCGTTTCGAGAGACTAGAAAAAAACACGTTTTATTATGAGTATTCAGCATTATTATATTATTGACGTTGCTCGTTTTTTCTTATTCGTTTCTTTGAATTTTTATTTTTTATAATCTCAATTTTTTCTAATCGTTTGCATGTCATTATATCCGAATTAATACATTAACAACATACGAATATATAAGATATGTTGTGGTTTCTAAAACCCTACTAAATTTAAAATTAATTATTAATTATGTGGACCTCGGAGTTTCAAATACTCAATGAAATACCTATGTAGATGACTTCCTAAAGAATTAAATTGTACCGTCTTCGTTTGCACTTTGGGCGTTTCACACATCTATTAAGTATTAATAATAAAATTGGTTTCTGAATTTCTGAATAATGCACGAAAATAAGTCTTATAAAAACTTTAAACGTTACATCAATTTAATACTAGTATTATGTATTTAAGGAATTTGTTCAATACTAGAGTTTTAAAGTAAAATTTTTATCTCGCATTAATGATTGAAAAGCTGCAGAAAGTGTATATATAAGTTTCATAGTTTGTTACAAAGTTAAATTATTAAAAAAAAACCCTCTAGAGGTTTTATACTACGTTTTTCCCTTTGTGTTTTTAATGGATCTGTTATATTACAGTATAACGCATGTTAACTTCGCGTTTTTAGAAGTATGCAGGTCCTCATGTTTGTATGCTACATATAAACCGTGCTAAATGGACAAAAACAATAAATTCTATCGTGACAGCTTCTTATGGTATATACATTTGCACAAATAAAAACTCAACGAATCGATACCAACTAACGAGGCTGCCAACCAGACTGATCTAGTCATTGTGTGATTCTTTAAGATGATCATATTATTATTTGAAACCAGTATATACAAGTATCAGGTCCGTATTATTTCACCTTGTCGTTAAGTTAATGATTCTGGTTTTTTTTTTTTTTACATTCATATATAAATTATTTCATTTCCTTTTGTATAAAACAAATTATGACAATATCGTTAGAAGAATTATTGTAAAATAATTTTGTAAGAAAATAATCAAAGGGATTGAAAATTTACAACTATAAATAAATTTACAATGTCAATTCTGCACTATACTTGTATGTTTTAATATATAAGTTACTTCTATAATCAGCGTGTTATACTTATATTGTTTTTTGTAGTACGCGTGTAAAAAATTTGAAACAAATCAAGGTAAACACGTAAAAATAAATATTATTCTACTTCTGAATGTCGTAAAAATATGTTTTTATAAAACATATTTTTTATTAAGGTAATAGACTCATGAATTTATTGACACTTTTTCCGCCATATTTTGTTGAAAATTATTTATCTTCTTATCAACATAAATTAATTAAAATGTTTTTGAAAAAAATCAAGAATAATTTTCACGATGATCTGATGCTGATGGTATCTTGTTTTATTTACAACTCAAATTTAATCATTTTATAATAGTTAATTTAATTCATTTGTTTTGAAATGACAAGTAAATCATATTTCATTTTACAAATCTAAAATAATACCTTGATCGTTGTGGCACCGTAGTGTGAAAATTCGTGTATAAAAATAAAAATAATTTATCTATATAAATATTTCTCTATATTTTATAATTTCTTGAAATTTCTTAGTCACGATAATTGGACTTATTATACGCAAAAAAAAAACTCAGCTGCTATAATAAAAATTAATGAAAATATAAATGTTAGTATTACTACTTTCTAAAAACTTATTCGATTTAAACTAACCTTCAAAGATGCCCCAGTACTTGTTTTTAGTATAAATTTTGATTAGGTAA